ACATATTTGTATGTTTGCGTGTCTGCATATTTCTAGAACGTTCTAGAGATTGACTGGAAGCTCATTGCAGGTAGTTGAAGTCCACGAGTCTTAAAGTTGCCGAGTTTGGAGACCTCTTGTTTTAGATTAAAATGAGAAAGCCTTTTTATTGAGGCTTCCCATCCGCTTCGTGTGTTAGGAGAGAGAGAGAGAAAGAGAAGGATTTTTGGAGACCCCTCTGCCGGGGGAGGATTTCTCCTTGCTGCAAAAAAAGGGATGTTGTTTCCTTTTCATTAAACAGAATCCTTCCTTCCTTCCCTGCCAGCCTCAATGAAGGGAACGGCAGCGCGGCGTGTAGTAAAAAGAAAGAAAGAAAGAGGGCCGAGGCTGCTGCTATCTGCTGGCCAACCTCAGTGTTGACACTGTGGCTGGAGAAACAGGCGCATGTGACTGTCCTGACCTTGTTTACGAGGCTTGGGTTATTTAAGATGGCCGTGTCTTTTTAAGCTCTGGGCAGAAATGCCGGGAATTTCTGGAATCCGGCAAACACAAGGGGTCTTCTAAATTTACTCTCCGGATGGTTCTCCGGTCTCTCTACTCTGGGGAAGATGGGAAGCGGGGGAGAAAAGCAGAAGACCACTCCTCTCATTGCATGTTTTATCACTCTACTTCCTCTCCTACCCATCCCTTTTTTGTTAATCACCCCTGCAGATTGTATTTTAAAGCCATTCTCTCCAGGGTGGGGTTATTGCAACTTTCCAACCAGAATATCCTCTTTATATACGGCTTCGGAGAATCACTGTAAAAAAAAAATGCAATTCAGCCATGTACGTTCAGGAAGGTTTTACTATCTCCAGCCCCTGTGTGTGTATGTATGTATGTATGTATGTATGTATGTATGTATGTATATGGGGCAGAGAAGGGGAGGCTTTGTGGAAACGAGAAACTAGAAAAAGTAAGGCTGGCAGTTTTTCAACAAAGGGACTTTTATTTTGTAATGGCTGGAATTCCCCTCATCTTTTGGTAACCTCCTGTCTGGCTGACATATTAAGTGTTTAGACAGATTAACAGAGTTGGAGGGGACCTGGTAGGTCATTTAGTCCAACCCACTGCCCAAGCAGAAGACCCTGCATCATTTCTGACCGATGGCAGTCCAGTCTCTTCTTGAAAGTCTCAAGTGATGAAGCTCCTACAACTTCTGAAGGAAACTTCTGTTCCATGGGTTGATTGTTCTCCCTGTCAGAAAAATTTCTCCTTATTTCCAGGCTTAATCTCTCCTTGTTCAGTTTCCATCCATTGTTCCTTGTCTGACCTTCGGGGGCTTTAGAAAATAGCTTGACCCCCCCCCTCATCCCCTCTGGGGCAGCCCCTCAAATATTGGAACATGTCTCCCCTGGTCCTTCTCTTCACCAGACTAGCCATGCCCAGTTCCTGCAACCGTTCATCGTATTGTATTGTTCTGCCTCAACCACAAGTGGTCCTTGCCTTACGATCACAATTGGGCCCAACATTTCTGCCGCTAAGCGAGACAGTTGTTAAGTGAGCTTTGCCCCATTTTGCGACCTTTCTTGTCACCGCTGTGAAGTGAATCCCTGCGGTTGTTTAATTAGTCACACTGTTAAGTGAATCTGGCTTCGCCATTGACTTTGCTTGACAGAAGGTTGCAAAAACGGGGATCACGTGAGACCCTGCAACCGTCGTAAACAGATGCCGGTTGCCAGCTCTCTGAATTTTGACCGTGTGACCATGGGAACGCTGCAATTGCAATAACCCTTAGACGTATATACTGCGTCACAGTGCTTTTTAGCTTTCTCTGAGCGGTTTACAGAATCAGCATAATAGCCCCCGACAGTCTGGCTCCTCATTTTACCCACCTCAGAAGAATGGAGGGCTGAGTCAACCTTGAGCCGGTCAGGATCAAACTCCTGGCAGTGGGCAGAGTTAGCTTGCAGCAGTGCATTCTAACCACTATGCCACCACAGCTCCTTCCTTCCCTCCCTCCCTCCCTCTCTCCCTTCTTTCCTTCCTTCCCTCCCAATATCACTTAGACTTATATACCACTTCACAGTGCTTTCCAGCCCTCTCTAAGCGGTTTACAGAGTCATCCTCTGGCCCCCAACAATCTGGGTCCTCATTTTACCCAGCTCGGAAGGATGGAAGGCTGAGTCAATCTTGAGACAGTCAGGATCAAACTGCTGGCAGTGGGCAGAGTTATAGAAGGAGGGAAGGGAAGGGAAGGGAAGGAAGGAAGGAAGGATAGCACTTTTATACTGCTTCATAATGTTTTACAGCCCTCTCTAAGTGGTTTACAGAGTCAGCCTCTTTCCCCCCACAATCTGGGTCCTCATTTTACCCACCTCGGAAGGATGGAAGTCTGAGTCAACCTTGAAGCTGGTTAGGATTGAACTGCCAGTAGTCAGCAGAATTAGTCTGCAATACTGCTTTTTAACCACTGTGCCACCATGGCAATAGAATAGGAATAGATTAAGCACTTAAAACTTATATACTGCTTCCCAGTGTTTTTACAGCCCTCTCTAAGCAGTTTACAGAGTCAGCCTCTTGTCCCCAATAATCTGAGTCCTCATTTTACCGACCTCAGAAGGATGGAAGGCTGAGTCAACTTTAAGCCTGGTGAAATTGGAACTGCCAAGTTGCAGGCAGCCGGCAGTTCTTGGATTTTGGTGTGCAGTGGTACACATTAAAGATATTTGGCTGGTAGGAATTTAAAAAAATAAAATAGTTCCAGCTAAGATTTTGCCTTGTGATGCTTCCTGTCTTTCGAGGTAGATAGCTCACTGCCTTAGCTCAACGGAAGGCCTGTTTTTTTTAAAAAAAGTTCTTTATTTTTAATAACAGACATAAACAAATACAAACCACGAAGCAACAAATAAAACCTTTCAATTGTACAATGTGTCGGTTGCTCCATATCTCTTGTGCTCAATACCAATAGTCTTTCCTTCTTAAGTTTAGATTAAAATTCATATCATGTAGATCATCTATCCATATTATATTATTATTAAATCACCGTTAGATTTTATTTGCAAATTCACATCATCCCTTTCGAGCAAATCTCAACTTTTACAAGCCCTGATTCGTATTATGGTTCCTTCCATAATAATCAATTATAGCGTATCATTTCGTTGTATTATAGTTACTAAGGAAGGCTTGCTTGTTGGACGTCTCTGGAAGTTTTAACAGGAATTTTGAGTTCTTGTAAGTGTTTTTATGAGAATGAGAAAAACTCTTCCTTATGATCCAAGCATTACTGGGAAAGAAGACTGCGTGCAATGCCTTGTCTCTTGCTGGGGATGGAAGCAAATAAGCCAGGTGCTTTGTCAACTTCCATCGGTACATGAAGATGTTAAAAATAATTTTGCTGTTAATCCCAGAGGCCATTCTTCCACTCAGAAATATGTCAGCATGTTTAGTAATCAGGATACCTCCTTTGTGGAGTGGGTACCCTTTACCTTATTTGGTCACATGAAGGATGGCTACTCTAATGAAAAAGTGGGTTAGGGGAGACGTGATAGCAGCGTTCCAATATTTGAGGGGCTCCTACGAACACGAAGGGATCTGGCTATTTCCCAAAGCACCAAAAGGCAAGAGAAGAAACAGTGGATGGAAACTAATCAAGGAGAGAAGCAACTTAGAACTAGGGAGAACATTTCTAACAGTGAGGACGCCGGCTTGCTTTCGGAAATTGTGGGTGCTCCACAGTGGTGGGATTCAAACAATTTAACAACTGGTTCTCTGCCCTAATGATTTCTTCCAACAACTAGTTCAACAAACTGCTCAGAAAGTTAACAACCGGTTCTTCCAAAGTGGCGCAAACTGGCTGAATCCCACCACTGGTGTTCCATCTTTGGAGGCTTTTAAGAAGAGACTGGACAGCCCGTTGCCTGGAGTAGTATAGGATCTCCTGCTTGAGCAGGGGGTTGGACTAGATGACCTCCAAGGTCCCTTCCAACTCTGTTACGTTCTGCGTTCAGATCTGATTGGTACCTGTGTAGAAAATTGAGAGAAAACTGACAGGTTAAATAAAGGAGGTATAATAAACCTCCAATTTAATGGAGCTCATCTTGTGGATTTTGAATGCAAATCTGAAATAAAAACAATATCCTTTCACACGTCTGCAAAACCCCATTTGCCATTCTATGCTTGGATAGAATAGATAAAATGTGCATGTGTTAAATGTTGTTGGCGCTTTTACACGTGCATGGGAACGCATGAGCTATGCAAAATAAGCAGGCCTAAAATCCCATTGCTGGAATGCATATTATAATAACATTAGAGCATGCAAAATCCCATTTGAATTTAATAGACTTTCTGTTTTAGTGCGCTTCCCTTCCCCCATTGGGGCATTGCCTTCCAAGTTGACAATCTTGCATTTCCAGTGGTTGAGTCAACCAGGTGAAGGCGAACAGGATTTTTTTGCCTTGGCTGGAAAATTGGCGACTTTGAAAATCCACGAGAAATTTTGCAAAATGTAGGATGCATTGGAAGGCAATGACTTTTAGATCTGTGTAGTCACTTCAGGCACTACGCGCTTTGTTTATGTGGACGCTTCAGGAGAGATCTGAGAGACAGTTTGGTACAGTGGTTCAAGCACCAGCCTAGAATCTGGAAATTTCGAGTCCTGCCTCAGGGGTGAATCCAGTCCCTTTCTCTCAGTGCTAGGAAGGAAGTGATGGCAAACCCCTTTCCGACCTCCAAGACTTATGATTCTATGATTTGAACTTTTGTACTGTTTTGTAGGCATGTAGCATATATAACTCAATTATTGAATTACCTCCTTTTTTGGATTCTCACAATGCATTCAGCTATAAGATTCACTATGTTTGAACAGTGTACTAGGTACCAAACCATGGTGGAAAAGAAATGTGGGGTTTTGACCATCATGGCAAATTTTTTTTTTGCTCATGTTGTAGGCAACTTGGCAACTTGTGCCAAGACTTGTGGACTTCAACTCCCAGATTTCTCGAGCCAGCAAAGCTTAACCTTAATATTCTTCCTTCTCCCAGATTGTCTTTTTCTGGTAGACATTAAAAATGAAAACCTGAGCAGTCTTGAAACAGGGCTTTGCAACAACCAGGCAAAACTTATGGAGGAAGCCTTATCTGCTGCTGGAGAACTCTCTGTTCCAGGCCAAAAGAACGTACGTATACTTCATTCTGTTTTGATCAAAGGATCCGTATGGTTTCCTCTTGCTGTGTTCCGCCACCACAGAAACTCTGTGAGATAGAATGAGCTGAAACTGTCCGTAGATCAACTGTTGACTTTTGGGGTTTTCCCACTCTCCATCCTACACCTTACCTTGAGCCATGTTGAGTGGATCAGAATAGAGAACATGGAATAATAGAATAGAATAGAATGTAGAACATGGAAGAATAGGGTTGAAAGAGACATTGTTCTGCTGTGCTGGGAGATTTAGATTAGCTAGGAAGCAGGAAATGGTTGGATTTCTTGCATTCTAGCTAGTCTTTAGATCTTCAGCTCTGCTTTTAAGTACAGCCCAACCTCCCTTAGGACTGAAGGTTTGCTTGCAAGCAAATTCAGTGCAGACCCCCGGCAAGCAAATTTGCGAGACTGAGCTAGCCAATGGCAGATAGGTAGATCACTGAATGATTCTGTGAGCAACTCAATCTGCCTGCTCTGCCTGATTTTGGGTAAAAGTTGCTCTTTTTTTATGGTCCTGCACAGCCTGGATTAACTGCTTTGGGGGTGACATTTCTCTGCGGACCACCAAAATTTTCTCACGGGCCACCAGTGGTCCCCCAGCCCCACTGGCTGGCGATCACTGGTATAGAGTCTCCTGCATGAGCAGGGGGTTGGACTAGAAGACCTCCAAGGCCCCTTACCAACTCTATTATTATTCTCTGAGCATCTCTGTTTGTGAAAAAACTTGAATGCACACAGGCCCATCGATAGGACTGAAGTCCTTCTTTGGTTTGGGCTGACTGATCTGGGAGAAGAATTTGAATTGTAAATAAAAAGTCCTTACTGCATGTTCTTTGACTGCTTGGATACAGTTGATTTCCTTTCGGTATACCAGAGGGGTGTGTGTGTGCGTGCGTGTGTATTTTGATTCCAGCAAATTGAGTATTTTAGGACGTATTATATTGTCATGGAAAATGTGAACCCATAGGCTTGATGGAGAAGAGATTAAGAAACGCTGGCAGTTGGTTCTTGCCATGCAAGCTGTCCCCAGCTGGAGAGGGAGAGAAAGAGAAATATTGTGTCTATGTCCCTCTCTCTTCTTCATCCTTTTGGTCTCTTTTTTTCGGGGGGCGGGGGGTGCATTTCTGCTTTGCCCGTTTCCCTGAAGTGCCAAGCAAGCAACAGCTTCAAAGAGCCCAGATGCGGCTGAACAGGAGCAACAGAAGAAGAGCAAGTAGAAATCAGGGGCTTTGACCAGGTACAGACAGATTAACAGAATTGGAAGGGACTTTGTAGGTCATCTAGTCCAGCCCCCCCGCCCAAGCAGGAGACTCTACACCATTTCTGACAGATGGCAGTCCAGACTCTTCTTGAAAGCCTCCAGTGATGAAATTCCCACAACCTCTGAAGGCAACTTCTGTTCCATGGGTTGATTGCTCTCACGGTCAAAAAATTGCTCCTTATTTCCAGGGTGAATCTCTCCTTCTTCAGTTTCCATCCATGATTCCTTGTCTGGCCTTCAGAGGCTTTGGAAAATAGCTTGACCCCTTCCTCCTCTCTGTGGCAGCCCTTTCAAATATTGGAAGGCTGCTATCATTTCTCCACTGGTCCTTCTCTTCCCTAGACTAGCCATGCCCAGTTCCTGCAATCATTCGTTGTATGTTTTAACTTCCAGTCCCCTAATCATCCTGGTTGTTCTTCTCTGCGCTCTTTCCAGAGTCTCCACATCTTTTTTCTAGTGTGGTGACCAAAACTGGATGCAACAGGAGCAACAGAACAGCAAGCAGAAATCAGGCTTTGAGCAATTTGAGTTTGCACTCAAACCCCTTCCCTAGCTATGCAAAAACCCTGTTAGAGACGTGGGTTTTTTTTTGCATAAGCGAGAGAAGAGTCAGCTGTGCATAAAATGCACTTTGATTGCCCCCTGGTGCCCGAGAAGCACAGTTGCTTCCCCGGGCTAAGTCAATAACAGGAAACGAGGTTTGGAAATGAAAGGAGAAGACGGGGACGCGGGTAGCTCTACCTGTTGAACAGCCGTGCAGAGCTGGGGAGAGCCAAGAGGTTCGTGTGCTTGAGTGTCACTGCAAACTTGACAACAATGGAGGTAGTCCTTGACATACAACCATGCTTGGAAACCATCATTTCCGTCATCAAACAAAAGTGGTTGTTCAGCAAGCCACACACGCTTTTGTTATGACCTCCTTTGCCACAGTTGTGTAGAAAAAAAAAGCCAATGCAATCCTAAGTTGCATTAACAGAGGGATACAACCGAGATCAAGGGAGGTACTAATACCACTCTATAAAGCCTTAGTAAGGCCACACCTAGAGTACTGCATCCAGTTTTGGTCTCCACACTATAAAAAAAGAGGTTGAGACTCTAGAAAGAGGGCAGAGAAGAACAACCAGGATGATGAGAGGACTGGAGGCTAAAACATATGATGAATGGTTATAGGAGCTGGGCCTGGCTAGTTTAGGGGAGAGAAGGACCAGGGGAAACAGGATAGAAGTCTTCCAATATTTGAGGGGCTGCCACAGAGAGGAGGAGGGGGTCAAGCTGTTTTCTAAGGCCAGAGAAGGAATAATGGATGGAAAACTGATCAAGAAGAAATTCAATCTGGAAATAAGCAGAAACTTTCTGACAGTAAGAACAATCAACCCATGGAACAGAAGTTGCCTTTGGAAGTTGTGGGAGCTTCATCACTGGAGGCTTTTAAGAAGAGGCTGGATTGCCATCGGTCAGAAATGGTGTAGGGTTTCCTGCTTGGGCGGGGTGGGGTGGGGTTGGACTAGATGACCTACAAGATCCCTTCCAACTCTGCTAATCTGTTAAATTAAACACAACTCTACACTGGTTAGGTGGATCGTGTAATTGTTAAGCAAATCTGGCTTCCCCCATCGACTTGCCGACTGGGAAGTCCATAAATGACAATCTTGTGATTTTTGTACACTGCAACAATCCTAACTACATGCCAGGATATTCCCAAAACCATGGAGATGCAGTGACGGTCATATGTGTGAGGACCAGTCATAAGTCACTTTTTGCAGTGCCGTTGTAACATTGAATGGTCACTAAATGAATGGCTGTGAGTCAATCTGTAATCCCAGGGTGGAATTTGGAGATAAACAGAGAAATTCTCCACATTTTTCCAGTTTCACAGGCTGCACCTGGCTTTGGACTGATCGGGATTAGGCACACTTACAGGAGCTACCCCGACCAGGAAACAGAAGTGTCAAAAATCAATCATTGGCATGAAGGATTTCCCGCCTCCATCTTGGTTTAGGTCGGTGGTCTTCAAACTTGACAGCTTTAAGAGTTGTGGACTTCAACCCCCAGAATTCCTGAGCCACCAGGGCTCCTTGATGACCTGTGGACTTCAACTCCCAGAATTCCTCCTCTAGTCATGTTAGCTCAGGAATTCTGGGAGTTGAAGTCCACAAGTCTTAAACTTGCCAAGTTTGAAGACCCTTGGTCTAGGTACTTGATGTCTGTATGAATTTGAATTAACTTAGAATGAAAATATAAAGGCTGGAATCTCAAAGGCAGAGAGAAAACTGGGTGCCTGGATGGTTTGAGAAATGTTGCACTGAAAAGCCCTGTTAATGGTTGTGAGGTTTGTTTGTTTCATTGCAACATGATTTCAGCCGAGGACTCATGTTTCATCATTTCCATCCATTGTTTACAAGAAGTGAAACCCACAAATAAACATTTTCAAGATGTATCGTTGCTCAGGTTCATTGTTCAGGTTGAATAAAAGCACCGTTGCTTAATCCAATTTTTTTTTTTAATTAACTTGGTTATCCAGAGTAACTTTTATAGGCAGCTATCCTCAGATGACTTGGCTGTATCCGATAGATATGGATGGATGGATGGAAAGAAAGAGAGAGATTATGATAGATAGATAGATGCATTGATGATAGATAGATAGAGAGATGGATAGAGAGAAATGGAGAAATAGAGAGATGCTGATAGATAGAAGCTGACCCCAACACCCTCACCCGTGCCAAATGAAAGAAGTGGCTTATGGACTTTGGTTCTCCTAATCAATCTTTCCTTCCTTCCTTCCTTCCTTCCTTCCTTCCTTCCTTCCTTCCTTCCTTCCTTCCTTCCTTCCTTCCCTCCTTCCTTCCCCTTCCCCTTCCCTTCCCTTCCTTTCCTTTCCTTTCCTTTCCTTTCCTTTCCTTTCCTTTCCTTTCCTTTCCTTTCCTTCCCTTCCCTTCCCTTCCCTTCCCTTCCCTTTCCTTTCCTTCCTTCTTCCCTCCCTCCCTCTTTCCCTTCCTCCCGAGACATTGCTTCCCATAAAACACAAATATTGGAAAGTAATTTGTTTAGAAAATGGACATTCTGCCCATTCCTTTAGCAGCTCTAGAGAGTCCCAAACCAACAAAACCATCCTTTTCTAAAATCCTGAGCTGACATAATAGCAATACGCCTTGAAAAATTGATGCCGGTTGCAAAATTGAATTCCAAATTGAGTGGCCCAAAATATTGTATAGGAGCAAAAAAAGAAAAGAAAAAAGAAAAAGCCAGTATTAATGTCCGCTTTAAAATGTGATTGATAGAAAAGACCCGATTTAAATAGCATTGCTATTCAGAATAGAATAACAGAGTTGGAAGGCGCCTTTGAGGTCTTCTAGTCCAACTCATTGCTCAGGCAGGAAACCCTATACCAAATGGTTGTCCAATCTCTTAAAAACTTTGAATGTTGGAGCATTCGCAACTTTTGAAGGCAAACTGTTCCACCGATTAATTGTTTTAACTGTCCGGAAATTTCTCCTTAGTTCTAGGTTCTAATTCCAGGTTGCTTCTCTCCTTGATTAATTTCCATCCGTTGCTTCTTGCCTGGCCTTCTGGTGCTTTGGAGAATAGCTTGACCCCCCTGTCTTTGTGGCAGCCCCTCAAATATTGGAAAACTGCTACCATGTCACCCTTGGTCCTTTTCACTAGACTAGACATACCTACCCAATTGCAATCATTCTTCATATGTTTTAGCCTCCAGTCCCCTAATCATCTTTGTTGCTCTTCTCTACACTCTTTCTAGAGTCTCAACATGCTATCATTGTCGTATCGGCTGATACAATCACAAAAGACGCGAGGCAGTGACTGGTTTTAACTCTTTTTATTTAGGTTTTAAAATCTGCCGCCGGCTGGGTATGCGGTGGCTTATATGGAACTGGCGCCGGGCGCTGCGGCCAATGACAGCCATTCAAATCGCCCACGATCGGCTCGGCCAATCGCGGTCGATTCCGAACAGCCAATCAGTGCCGCGCGCTCGACCAATCCGGTTGCTGCGCGCTTGTCCAATCAGGACTGCAGGATTTCAAGAATGTTAATGTCCATACAGAACAATCATGTCACCCCTAGTCCTTCTTTTCCTCAAACTAGAATTGCATTAAAAGTTTCCTGTGCTTCGATTCTTGTTTTTGTTTTTGTAACTGGTACACGTTGAGAACAGAAATGTAAATATTCTCTTTGATTACAGATTAAAGTGGAGGCTTCATCAATGAACTTCCTTCCTCTGTACAGAGATGACAGCGAACGTTGCCTCTTGGTACTCGCTGATCCCCAAGATAAGAACAGAGGTTAGTAAATAGACTGTTTTCCCTCCCTCCCTTCTCTCTTTTATTTCAGCACAGCTCTGAATGATTGGATGCACGGAACAGGATTTGGCACCTGGGATGTGGGCATATGGAAAAAATCATTTTGGAATTCTATGCAAGCTACTCTGGGCGGGTGAGAGAACTTGAATAGAACTTGGCTTTGAAACACAAAACACTTTTTTGAGGAGTGACTTCCCTGAAACCTGTCTGCTCTTCTCATCAAAATGACATTTTCAGCACTCCAGGATTTTCTGCACCCAAATAGCAGAATAGATCTTGCAATGAAATGTTGTGGCATCAGAATTCTAAATTCAGAATTCTGAGGTGAAAACTTAATGGAGAACGGTTGTAGGAACTGGGGTACGGCTAGTCTAGAGAGAAGAAGGACTAGGTGTGGCATGATAGCAGTGTTCCAGTATTTGAGGGGCTGCCCCAAAATAGAGGGAGTCAAGCTATTCTCCAAGGCACCTGAAAGCAGGACAAGGAAAGCAATGGGTGGAAACTAATCAAGGAGAGAAGCAACCTGGAATTAAGGAGACACTTTCTAACAGTGAGGACAACTAACCAGTGGAACAGGCTTGCCTTCAAACGTTATGGGTGCTCCATTACAGGAGGATTTTAAGTAAAGACTGGACAGCCGTTTATCTGAAATGGTATAGAGTCTCCTGCTTAAAAAGAGGGTTGGACTAGAAGACCTCCGAGTTCCCTTCCAGCTCTGTTCCGATTGACACAATAATCCCCTCTAATATTAATATGAGCCGCAGTGGCACGGTGGTTAGAGTGCGGTACTGCAGGCTCCTTCTGCTGGCTGCCTGTAATGGACAGTTCAAATCCCTCCAGGCTCAAGGTTGACTCATCCTTCCATCCTTCCGAGGTGGGTAAAATGAAAATCCAGATTGTTGGGGGACAATAGGCTGTAAAACTGCTTAGTGAGCGCTAAAAAGCACTATAAACCAGTATATAAGTCTAAGTGCTATTGCTAATATTAATACTATTTGTGAAGATGTAGTTTCGTATCTTCCTTGCCGTCATTGCGAACAAGGCAACTTGTTTTGAGACACGGTTGTCTTCATCAGACTATAGAAACTAGATATTTTTTTCTTATAGGCTAGATAATACCGTCCGAGAGAAAGGACTTTTTTTTTCTGCCTGAGAATTTGTAAGTAGCGGAAGGAAAGCCAAGAAAACATTATAGTCAGTATTTTATCTTATGGGTTTGCGTGTACTTTTGAATTTTAATGTGTAATCCAATTTATAATGTACTCTTCATTCTGGAGTCTCTAACTGTTCCCAGTCATGATTTGCCAGTTTTAATTTCGGGAACAGAGAGAGCCTTTCTTCATTGATTTTATTATCTCCCTGGATCAAAATTTTAGGATTAGCAATTTTCCTTTAGCCTGATTGTGATTGGTAATATGGTAATGGCTTAGGACAGGGAAGAAAGGAACAACCTGTATCTTGAGATCAATCTGAAATAAATAAGGAAAAAACCCAAGTTTTTAATATAGTGGTTACACAAAGTTTTTATAGTTGTTTTCTGGAACACTGTGTATTATAATAACTTCCTCCTGAATTATGAAAGGTGTAGAATTTTGCAGCCCATGTAAATGGTAATAAAAAGTATTTTTTCTATGCTGGTTTTCTTTATTCAATGGAGAATAAAGACTAGATAGATTCAGCTCTTAAGATCGGTGAGCAAACAGGTTGAGGTGATGGGAAGGCTGGTGTTGCTAAGCTAGTGCCGGTACCAACACAGGACATGGAATCATAGGGCTGGAACTGGGACCTAAGAGATCTTCTAGTCCAACCCCATGTCCATGGCAGGAGGTTGTCAAGACCAACAGTTGTCAAGTCTCTTTTTGAAAACCTCCAGTGATGGAGCATACACAACTTCAGGACGCAAGCTACTCCACAGATTAGTTGTTAAATGAATGGTGGTTTAAAAAGGGAATCTGGCAGTTTAAAAAGGAAAACTGAGGGTTGTGCCTGATCATTGTAGCTTTTCCAATCAACTTGATCAAGCTTGACTTGGTACAATTTAACGCAACACTTTGTCTCTTCTTTTCTTTTTTTAAACAAATTTTATTAATTTTCAAAGACAATACACAAACAAACAAAACAAAAAACGTAAGAACATAAAACATCTTTTCTAAAAATTGCTTATGAAGTTTTAACAAAACAAATAAAACACCTTGTTTAAGTACAGCCTAGTTCCAAATTATCACATTTCCATACAAACACAATTTAATATCCATCTTGTGTATTCAACTTCATATCTTATTACTCCTTTTCCAAGTTCTCACTGTTTTTCCCTTTACTTCTATTCAATTTTATTCATTAAACTTACACTTTCGTCTGTCTTATTTACAATTTCATATGTTCTCATCCAACATTCTTAATTCTCAATAAACAAACAAAACACGTAACATGAAAACGTAAAACTTCTTTTTAGAAAGCGGCTTATCCCCGGGTTACATCTTTTGGTACAGACATAAATCAAACGTTCTATTATGGTGGTCGTTCTGTGAATCACCGTGGTTGTTGAGAAAAATATGTGGCCATTGAGTATAATGCTGCAGTTGCTAAGCAAACCAATGGCTGGCTCATGGGTGTCGTTTGGCTGAAAAACCCCAAACCCACGTTTTGGCAAAGCCACCGTGAAACGTCACGTAACTGGCAGGATGTTGCATAAATCCTTTCTATTCCTCACCAGCCAGAACCGAAGAAGCTTCTTGGATGAGGAGTGAACCGTCTTCAAGAATAGAGCAGAATTAAACAGGAATAAGAGTAGAATATCAGAATTGGAAGGGACCTTGGAGGTCTTCTAGTCCAACCCATGCTCAAACAAGAAACTCTATACCATTTCAGACAGCTGCCTAGTCTCTTCTTAAAAGCCTCCAGTGATGTAGAACCCAAAATGGCTGAAGGCAACTTCTGTTCCACTGATTAATCGTTCTCGCTCTTAGGAAGTTCCTCCTTAATTCCAGGTTGCTTCTCTCCTTGGTTAGTTTCCATCCATTGTTTCTTGTCCTGTTTTCAAGTGCTTTGAGAAATAGCTTGACCCCCTCTTCTTTGTGACAGCCCCTCAAATATTGGAATACTGCTATCGGCTGTCCCCTGGTCCTTCTCTTCACTAGACGGGACATATCCAATTCAAGAAAGTCTAGTTGCCTTTTTTGCAAGCTAGGAAATCACCATTGGTTCAAAGCATGACCTTGGGTGACTGAGAACCTCCATAGATTTCGAGCATCAGTGTTCTGCATTCAGGATACTAGGAAGTGAAGGAAGAATATGCAGGTCCAATGGCGGGGATCCATCCCATCATAGTGAATGTAGCTTCTTGCACAGACTTGGAAGATCTTGCCTTCCTACTCATGCCTTAAGGCAGGGGTCTTCAAACTTGACAGCTTTAAGACTGTGGACTTCAACTCCCAGAATTCCTCCTCCGGTCCTGTTTAGCTGAGGAATTCTGGGAGTTGAAGTCCATAAGTCTTAAACTTGCCAAGTTTGAATACCCTTGATCTATTCTATCTATCATCTATCTATCTATCTATCTATCTATCTATCTATCTATCTATCTATCTATCTATC